GGGGGGGGGGGGGTAGACCTCAGTACATACTGAAATCAACTCACAGTTCCTTAAAATTTTGTCATGCAGTTACTGAGCCCAAGTACAACAGCAACTTGATTCCCTCGTCAAAAGCCCTCAGTTTACCCAAGGAAGGAAGACATGTTGTTTTTTCTGGTGAATTTGTTGATGAGGAAGGGAAAGAACTTGGCAAAGATCCTAACAAAGATAAGACTTTGCTGGCAGGTCTTCGCCCGATACTCAGTGAGCTAAACGGTTACGACTCATCCCTAGGTCAGTGCATGTGCTCCTGGTTAGTGTGCCGTGATGGCAGTATGTCAATTACACAATTTTGGATGTTTTGCGGGGTGCCTTGTTACGAGATGTTTAAATTGTCTGTATGAAAGAACGTTTCAGCTAATTATTTATTGTTTGTAACGTAATAAAAAATTTTAAAAAATAAAACCCTGCAGTCATTCATTCGAATTGGGTTTATATACGGTTAAAATTTCCTAAGAGGAAACCCATGGAACTACAAAAAGGTGTGTACTCAAAGAGTCACGCCAAAAAAGAGGATGAAAATAATTAAAATAGAGTACAACATAGAGTTGTATCTTGTGTCTTGGACCATGATGAGCTTCTCGCTCGAGGACGAAGTACCCATCAGGGGATATTAGACTGCATTTGACACGGAAAGGGAATAAATAGTTCTAGTCGCACATTCAATAAAAATATGATAATGGCTTAACCGAATAGTGTGACTGCATACTTGACACAGGTCGTATTTCGTGGCTCTATAACTTGATTTTGTTTTTCCTGGATTTCTTGTGGTTGATTCTAATCAACACAACTAAAACTAAAAAAATCTCGAAACATTAAGATATTATACTTTCACCCGCAATAGCTACCTATGAATATGAGATTTAAAGAGAAAATAAAAAGATAATCCCTAATATTTTAAACTTCTGTTACAGACTGGTCACCTCTTTTGCAAGACAAAGAAGTGTCTCAAGACTATCCTCCTACAACCGAAAATNATCAACACAACTAAAACTAAAAAAATCTCGAAACATTAAGATATTATACTTTCACCCGCAATAGCTACCTATGAATATGAGATTTAAAGAGAAAATAAAAAGATAATCCCTAATATTTTAAACTTCTGTTACAGACTGGTCACCTCTTTTGCAAGACAAAGAAGTGTCTCAAGACTATCCTCCTACAACCGAAAATGCTAGTCCCTCCCCAACAATTCCACAAAATTCCTGGAAAATAGAGAAAGAGAAGCAAAATGTAACAGATTGGCAAGATGGAGGTCAACTTCAAGACAGTAACATTAAAGATGTTGCAAATAATGCGCCAGCAAACAGTATGTCAAACGGACCAAGCGAACCAAATTCCACAACAAATGCCAGCACCACTGTTACGACAAATAAACAAGGGAGTAAAGTTAATCCTGCATCACAAGCACCAATTGTAGCAGGCAGTCAAGGACGAAATCAGGCGAATGGTCAAGGGGGTTTAGGCTTAATCGGAAATGGTGTCGCCTCTTCTAGTAGTGGAGTAAACCAAGAAAATGGCATTAGTTCAAACGCCTCTCCAGGCAATACAGGTTCAAGCAGCCAAGGATCCGGACCTCCCATTGCAGTCATTCCAGCCAATGGTGGCGGCAGTCCAAATAGTGGAGGTGTCAATACTGCGAACACTGGTTTATCTGGAGGTATTCCAGGACAAACCGGTAACGCTCTAGCAAGTTCAGGACAACCTGGAGGTAATCAAACTTCAATTGATTTATCCTGTAATTTCTTTAAGCAACCTATGCCACTGATATTAATATTTAAAGGAAATAAAGGGAGATGTAAAGAATCAACCATAAGAGGACACAGAAAAAATCTCAGCCCCAGATGGGATTGGAACCCACGACCCTCCGTGTTCTAGATCGGATGCTTTGACCTCTGAGCTACTGAGGACTCGTTGGCGAGCAAGGGTCATTTTTTGTGGGTTGGACTTGCGAACCGCATCTCGCAGTCACACAGTCCATCACAAGCAACACATTAAGGCTTAACTGTATCACACAGTCACATTAATAGTAAGAAATGTCTCACTCATGAAGGAGCCTCCAACCAACCAACCTATGCCACTGATATTAATATTTATTTATTCCCTTTATTTCCTTTAAATATCAATATCAGTGGCATAGATTGATTCTTTACATCTCCCTTTATTTCTTTAAGATGAGGAAAAAGAAAGCACAAGGTTTTTTTTTTTTTAACAGGTAAATTTTCATAATATTTTGTGGCGAAATAGTCCTGACAACCCTTTAAGTAAGCTAATTAATTGAGCTGAGTTATGCCAGCAGGTTATCTCTCTGTTCCCCCAGCCTTGGCTAACTCGTACGACGTCGACACGTTCAACACATTGAAATCACTCTGCTCCAAGTAGTGCTTCCCAATTCGCTGCGGGTTGTATTTTTAAAACATTAATCACTATATGCTGTTCCTGGAGTTGAAACAATTGTTTAATATTCATGATACTTTAAGCTCTGTTACTGATTGAATATTAGATACATAGATTTGTGTGTGTAATCAAATGGTGACGAGTGAAATTACTCGGATTTGGACAAAAAGCAAGTGAAATTATTCCCTAATTTCACGAGTATACCATTTGATTACCTATTAATATCATGGGTGACGAATTACGTTAGCAATCTTGGATTTTTGACATGCTTATCCTGGATCGTATCGATCGAGAACTCCACTCTCTCAAATGTTTAGACCTTAAATTTGGCTTATAAAGTTCAGAATTTTTGAGACTATTTCGGCAAAATACCTGTTAAAATCCTTCTTGATGTTCTCTTGTGTGTTCAGGTTTTCTAAAGCGTCTTTTTGAGCCCTGACATCTTCGCCATCTTGACACTGAGACGTACGGAGGGTTGCCATGGCAATTTTGTAATTTCATATGTGAAATTACAAATTAACGCTGAAATTTCGCGCCAAAACTAAGGAGTAATTCGTCACCTTTGATATTATTATGGAAAATGCAGTAGATTGTATTTACTTATGAAGTCATGTATGTAAATAATTCTATTGTTTCGCGAGGGCGCACTTGAATTTGAGCCTCATTCTGCCTTGTGGCCCTAGTCATTGTTTGCTTTTAATTATTTTAATTGCCCTTGTTTGATGTGTAAAGGTTTGTAAAGAAAAAAAATGGATGAGCAATTAGTTTTAAGCTATAAAAAGTTTGCTATGGCTCTATTTAGGGTCCGATTGGAGTTGTGCACAACGATCTAAAATACAGACGACCTGCCTCGATCGACTAGATGTTAATGTCCCCCTTATATTTTGTTATCTATTCTTTAAACAATGGCTAGTAAACATCTGTAATGGCCGCAAAAATAATGTATAAATTACTGGTTGAGTTCGCCCACTCTATATACAATTTCAGGGCCGATGCAAGTCATTCAAACACAGCTGTTGCCTATCCCAGTCCTTCCTGTTCAGACTCTTCCCATTCAAACCCTTTCTCCAGTGCTGTCCCCACAAGGGCAATTTCCGTTTATCACGCCAAACCAACAGCAACAACTGCAACCAACAAACCAGAGCAAAGTTCCTCAAGTGAATGAGAGGGAAAGCACTCAAAATCCGAATCAACCGGTTTCTGGGAAAAGTGAGCAAAATCCAGATCCATCCGTTTCTGTTAGTGGCCCAAAGAACAACAAAGGAAACAAAGGTCCGGAAGAGGCGACGTTTCAAACTCTTACAAAACCACCCAATGGTCAACCTACAACGTCAAGTTCTGTCAATAAAGAAACTCAACGTTCTACTGCAAGCCAGCAACATACTACTACATCTTCATCTCAAGCAAATCCAACAGAAGATAACAACAGTTCCAGTGGATCAAATTCTACCAAAGCACCAAATTCTAATAAGATTACGTTACCTACTAAGTCAACACCAGTTCCTCAAAGAGGTAAAGCTGCGACAGCCACATCAACCAATTCATCCATTGTGAATTTGAACAAACCGAACGGAACTCAAACAAGTGGAAAGGCGAACGCCGCTTTATCGACTTTTAAACCGAAAGTTTCAGCTGCAGGAAAACCATCTCAAAAGCCACAGGTGGTTTTATGCCAGATAGTTTGTGGAAGCGACTGTTGTCCGATAGAAGTTAAAGCTCCAACCGCAAAGCCAACCGCGGCTAATCCGACAACGAAACCCACAACACTTCCACCGACAGGTGCTAAAGGGGAAGCAAAACAAAAGCCAACAACGCCCCAGGAAGTCATTGCTGCACCACCCGTACCAATGAGACACCATAACTGGCTAGGATGGTTTCCTCAGTCGGCTCATCCAATGCCTGGTAATCCAGTGTCCGTACCTATTACCCCTCCGTTCATGTACATGACACTTCCGCCAGCCACAGCTTCGCCTGTCTTAGACAAAGAAAGGTTTCGTCAGGTGGAACACCAAATGCATACAGTCCAAGTACCGGCAGTTCCTCCTTTAACTATTTCGTCTGCTGTAAGTCCGCAAGAGGACAAGGATGACCCGATACTGATTGGTAGGGTAGCAGTTTTTACTTAGCGTTTTATCTAGTTTTTTTTTTTCCTTTTAGATATACCAGGAAAATGTACATGTAAGGTGTGGGTGATTTCTTTCGAAAGCACTAAGTGGGATCTTTCTGCATTTTTCTTCACGAAGCTAGGCGAAAAAAAACCTGGAGACAAGGTGAATGACCGACATCAATCTGAACCAACACGTACTATACATGTGCATAACTATAGCGTTACCTTTGAAATACCAATCCAAGTAATATTGCATGGAGATGAATACTCCATGTACCAGTAATTAGGGAAGATTTATTTGCAAAACTACAGGACTATGATTATTATTCCAGGTCAGTGCCAGGATTATCACCCTGACTGTTATTCATTCGTCATGTCCGGGATGTGTGATGACAAAAGTATTTTCAAAGAAGCATTTAGTGTTCGCGATTTTTGCATGCTGTCCTGTGGTGTATGCAACAGGTATGGAACATGCGTTCTTTGTTCTTCTTAACCTCTTCT